AAATAAAGGATAATAAATTAAATAAAGGTTAATAAATTAAATAAAGGTTAATAAATTAAAGGATAATAAATTAAATAAAGGTTAATAAATTGAACTTTTATATTTGAAGCTGCAGAGCTGAAAATAAACTTTGTTTCATTTTAACTTGCTGATGTTGAAGAGAAACTTTAAAATAATGAGGAAACATGAAAAACAAAACTCAAATAAAACACAGGAAACAATCATTTCAGTTTAAACCTGAAACAAAAGTTTGGACTTTAATTTAGTTTAAACTCAACAGTTGAGATTATATCCGATAAAAACTGATTTATTTGTTTAAACTCGTCATGCGTGATTAAATCACGGTTATAAAACGACACGTTTTTAAAATAACATAAATATTAGAGGAATAAAAACAACACACTATGACTCGGACTAAATAAAATCCAAAAGTCCAATAAAGACATAAGAAAACGGATGTTTGCATTTGTCGGACATTCATTATTCAAGTATCGACTTTAACAAACGGTAAGCCTGGTATCGGTATCGATCTCTGGTCCTCTGGAGCCAGAACCTCAACAGAACTTCAGGGTCCGGACTCACGTCGGTCCAGTCGTGGACTCTGGTCACGTTCGTCTCGGAAACATCGATGAAGGTCTTCATCTCAGAGGAGGACATGATGAAGACTCCCTGAGCCCAGAGACAGCAGGTTTATGTTGCAGGAGGCGGGGCTTACCAGACTCCGCCCACAGTGTGGGCCTGACTCCACCCTCTGAAACCTGGATTCGTGTAAATCAGTTCCTGAAACAGCAACTGGTTTTTAATTAAATCAAATTTCTGTTTTCTGGAACCTTCAGCTTCATCCAGAAATATTTAATGAGAAACTTACAAAATTTAAATTATTTAAACTTAATAAAACCTGATGAGGGCAGCACGGTGGCACAACTGGTAGAGCGGCTGCCTCTCAGCGAGCAGGTCCCTGGTTCAAACCCCGGTCCAGGGGCCTTTCTGGGTGGAGTTTGCATGTTCTCTCCGTGCATGCGTGGGTTTTCTCCAGGTACTCCAGTTTCCTCCCACAGACCAAAAACATGCATGTTAGGCTGATTGGTAACTCTAAATTGTCCCTAGGTGTGAGTGAGAGAGTGAATGGTTGTTTGTCTCGTTTGTCTCTATGTGTCCCTGTGATGGACTTGCGACCCGTCCAGGGTGTACCCCGCCCCTCGCACAGTGATTGCTGGACATGGGCACCAGCGACCCCCGTGACCCAAAATGGAATAAGCGGGTAAAGATGATGGATGGATGGATGGAAAACCTGAAGAAGAGTTTAAACATCAGTCATTAGATCTGAAGAGCGTTTATTTTAGTCGTCCTGAGGTCCAGAGATCTGATCTTCAGTTGTCCTGAGGTCCAGACTGGTCCAGAGATCTGATCTTCAGTTGTCCTGAGGTCCAGACTGGTCCAGAGATCTGATCTTCAGTCGTCCTGAGGTCCAGAGATCTGAT